GCTCAGACTGGGTGTTTACTATAGCGATGGCTGCAGCTTGGCAGTAGAGGGTATTAAAACATGAAAGGGCAGCCTACCTCAGCGTCAGCACCAGATCCTCATAGCAAAACAGCGTCGCACACTGCTGAAACAACGCCTCACACACAGCCAAACCCCGTCGGCACAGCAACACCATCCACCACCAAATAACAATAACAGGCTCGTCTGATTTTACGGCTAGATGTTGAGACGGTAGAAAAGAAAAGCATCACCGAGACATCGGGAGGAGCCCCACCCTCTGTGCAAGGAGGGGGGGAGGGGGGAGAGAGAGAGAGAGAGAGAGAGAGAGCACACTGCAGAATAAAAAGGTCCACACAAAGCAGGCAGATACGCGCATCCCGGCTTCAACCTCGACAATTCACTGCTATGCACAAACACACATGTATGCACATGCACAGCCAAGTGTAACAGACAGGTAGACATGTACCGAGGACCAACTGCTTTACAATCAGACCTAACGTTTTGGGGTTTTTTTGAGAGAGGAAATTCATCACTTGAGGACAGGCTGCCGCCTTTTCACAGGAAATTGCTCTAACCCCCCTGATCATTTCCCATCATTACCACCCACCAGGCCAAAGCCATCTTCAGGGCTTGACTTGATGCAAAGAAAAAATGCTATACTCCGATTACCAATCTGACGCAAATGTGGTACTGCAGCAAAAAAACACATTTAAAATCTACACAACTCTGTATTATGGTTAGCCACAAAGTCATCAGTCTGCCGTTCTCCCCTGTAACCCGGCCAAGATGTATGTATGTAGAGGAGTCAGCAGTAACCCAGCTCATGGGTGATTAGAAAAGAGGAAATAAGTCAAATGCAGAGCAGATGTGCAAATTTACTCCCAAGAGAAAGACAATCTGGCATGTGTGTCCTCGGTTTCCTCAGGTCTCAATAAACCAGAGTGGACCGTGCATCATTCAGCAACATCCCCCCTTCTCACAATGGTGCTCAGTGACCCCTCTGACCTTTTTCTCCAATACCTATCACCCTGCTGGCAGTCTTTCTCCTTCCACCGACTCCACCCCGGTCTCAGAGTCTCGTCTCGAACACATTTGAATTTCTGCCTGCTCAGGAGTGTTCTAGCAAAACATTCGGATATCTCAGCCTCAGATGGCCTGAACATCTTCGACAGTCTATACCACTCGACTAGAGCCAAATGAAAAGTAGGTGTGTGATTTGTGAGGAACTTGATGCCAACAGCATCATCGGGGATGACTCCGCTGCCAACAAGACTAGTTCTTCATGTTACTAATCTGTATGCAGGAAAACACCTTTTAAAACTGATTTCAAACAGGATGGAAACTATTGAAGAAAAATAACTATTTCAGACATTTACCCATGATCCTTTTGGATCAATATCTAAACCCAATCCGTTCATCTGCTGGTTACCATTATAAAAATGCCATAAATCGAAAACTTTCAGCCAGTTCTTGAAATATCACAAAAACAAATTGTCGGCCGGACACAAGGACCAATCAAAAACATAATGCCTCCACCCTAGTGGTGGATGCATGAAAAGCATTCTAAAAATAATATTGATAATTGGTTTTACCGATATTTCTCATTATATTTAAGCATTTTTCCACAATCAGATAATTTTTCACCGATAAATGGCGACATCTTGCGGGCGTTTTGAGAATTGCGCACAGGACCGCCACTGCAGCTAAGGGGAGACGATGTGCACAGATAGAGTATACTTGCTTTGCTTCAAGTAATTAGCTTTATTTAACATAACAGCCATTAATGCACAAAGGAAACGTGTTACATAAGAGCTTGATGTGTAGTTTATGCAAGTCGTGTCCCAAAGGCGTAACTTTACATGAATTAAATAAAACCTTGGAGGAGTGCATGCTGGAAATAAAACATCTTCATTTAATTCTGTCTCTTAAGAAGATTCGCTCATTTAAAACACCCTAAATTCTAATAATATTTACTATATAACCTTTATTTCACTATTAAACATCGAAATAATTACAACTCTGTGGAAATTAAATTTTTATTTTCTCGGAGAGTAATCACAGTTTGAGTATAGTTCTGCGTAAACACACAGGTAAAAAGCGCCCGGTCAGCAGGTATTTCATAATCTAGACAGACAAAACCTTTACTAATTCTTATAACATACCAGTTGAAATGGACTCAGTAATTGCAACAACATATATGCAGTTTTTCTTTTCTGCCAATGTATACTTATTCCAGTGAAGTAGTTGAAAAAACCTAAGGAGACGTGTGGACTTACTTCAGTCATTGCCAGGGGTGAACGTAGAATTATTTTTAGGTGCTTTATTTGTTTATCTCGTCAAATCTTTTAACAAGTCACTTTAGTAACAATGCAATTTCACTCTTCAGACCCCTCTATTTATTTGTGATAAATAGGAGTTGCGTTTTGTATGCAAGGAGGAATTTAAATTGACATAATTGCTATAAATAAAACGGTTTGTTCAATTGGTGGTGGTATCAATATGTCAAAACAGAATTAAAAACAATAGATAGATATCGGTTCTTGCACATCAACATGAAAATAATTGGTATCGGTTATAAAAGTCAATATCGGTCGATCTCTACTAAAAATGTTTAAGAGATGGATAGAAAATGTACGCTACTCACAAACCCTTTAACGTTTCACTATAGACTTAATGCCCAATTCAGATCTGCGCATGACCTCATACAAATCCCTAAACTCAGCCATTCCCAAGACTGTAAATCAACAATTTGCTATGTAAAACTGTACTTCAAGAACAGGGGTGCCAAACTCCAGCTCTGGAGTCCCCTGGGTCGCACAGTTTTATTACTGGAAAACAAAAAAAAATGAACTGGCCTAAAGCAATCTAACATGGGTTTCTAGTTCATCCTACCAACCTGAGAGACAACTCAAAGGGTCGAACCAGACTTCTAGGTTTCACGATAGTGTGATTTTGTCAATGAACATGGCCAAAAAAATGTAGTTTCACAGAAAGGTGAAACGCGACTGATGGCAGATAGCCGAAGTTTTCCAGTAATTCGTCAGCAAACGTGCAAGAATCTCTCATTTACTCTCTGCTTCACCCAAGCTCTGGAAGAACTTGTAAAGATGGGATCAATCCTGTCAAGTAGCAAGTGGAAGTGTGTATACATGGAGGTGTGGAGAACCAATCAGACTGGTGCAGAAAAGGAGAAAAGGTAGACAGACTACACAGTCCTTCACCTGGAGAGATCCTTGCATCGCAAATGTTGAAAAATAAACCTGCAGCAAAATCAAGCATTTTTGGCTGCAACAATCACAAAAATCTTTGTGTTGCATGTGTTTACATTTCACCTCTCCTGCATATGACCACAGGGGTTTCCTCATGATTTCCTCCAAGACTCTCACTGGCTGTTTCTCAGCGCTGTTCTTGCCACTAGACACAAAGGATTCACAGAATGCAATTCACATACATACATACATACATACATACGCTTGAAAATATCAGAGCCTTGGAGACTGCTCACAGACTGAAAAAATCATGTTGCTGAAACATTCACACTACACGAGCTGTTGCCTTTGGGAAATCTGGGCTAAAACCACAGTGAGCATTAGGTTTATGATCCTGAAGCTTGTGGCCAGAAAAGCATACAGAAGTATGCAGAAGATGCAAAAGCAAGCACTGTCTGACTAATCCGCCATTTGTTAACCAATTTAAAGTTTGCTGCATCAAAAAATAAATAAATAAATAAATATATTATATAAATTTTTTTTTTTTTAATTCTCCAACGACAATTTTTTTTTTATTTTACATTTTATCACTAATAATGAAATGCCCTTTGTTAAGCTGGCTCCCTATATAAAAAAAATACATATTTTTTTTAAAAACCTAACTTCTGTTGAATTACTGTTTTGTGCTGGGACAGTTTTAGAGAAATTAAATGTAAAAATGCAAATCAGAAAAACAGAAAAGCTCCATGCTGCTTCTTACAGCACAAAAGCAAGAAACCCAACTATTCTGTAGTATTTTAATGGGTCGGAGGACGAGAGAGGCAGACAGCTGAGTGCGCGGGCAGCGAGGGTGCGGTCTGAGTGTATGGACAGCTGAGACAGAGGGAACAGTGACCGTAGTGCTGCACACACAGCTCCCCCACCCAGAAACACTCGCACCCACCCCACATGCAAATATCCTGAAGACACTACTTCCACTCAGCGGGAACACACAACACACACACAGCACCCTGCCAGCAGGAGACACAGCAGTCTTTACAAACCCCACACTTAACATGAACACCATGCACAAAGCACAGGCTCTTCCTGCTCTGCCAAACAAGATGGACGAGCTCTGCAAACGCCCTGCTGTGCTCCGCCACCCTGCCAAAGCGGCAGCAGCACACTGAGTCACCGTTGTTCACAACTGCTATAGCCCTGAAATAAGGCTGTGACAAATAAACAGCTTTTTACTTTGGCACACACACACACACCCCTTGAGTGAGGGTAGGGCCACTTAAGTTTTTCCACTACTATTTAAAACACAAGAACCATCCCAAACAGGAACCAACAGAACTTCGGGTTAGGGCTGCAACAAATCATTCCTTTTATTTCAATTTTTTTTTATATAAACAATTTGGAAAATCTCAGCTATTTTTTTCCCCAAAATCAACTAATCTAAGGATTATTCTTTGTTCTAGTAACAAGAACCCGTATCGAATTACATATAAGGAACATGATAGACCATGTAAAATAACATCATAAGAACATTCATGAAACATTATATAACGTTATTCACTTACCGAACACAAGCTTTGGTTTTAAATGTTCGTGCATCGTCAAAGTGCTGCTATGAAAGGCGACGGAGAACGCTTGGTCTTATTTAGGTGGAAAAGCCTGCAATTCAGGTCTTGCTCTCTCCGACTGCCCTCTTGCTGCTGTAGTTTGGAAATGTCAATCAGCCTACAATACGACTTTGGACTGGAGGAGGAAACCTCCAAAGCACGGGGAGAAGATGCAAACTCCGCACACGGGCCGAGGAAGGATTTGACCCCCCAACCCTGGAAGCGTGAGGCAAACGTGCTAACCACTAAACCACCGTGCCAACATAGTCTTTTTTTTCCCTAGAAAGAAGCATGTATGGCTCAGTCTTGTCTACTGCTCATGCCTTCACATGAGATCATACTGATCTCAGAGGTATGAGTGGTGGTTGATATCTAGTACTGATACAACGTCCTAACACTAACCAAGCCGATGTTGCACAAGCTTCTGTTGCAGAGTTAAGACACAGCAGAGGTGTGATGCATCCCTGCTTTAATACAAGCTATGCTCTGTTTTGACATTTAGGAGCTGTGCGGTATCCGTCAACATCACAGGCCTTCGTGGGATAAAATACCTCAGTGGAGAATTTTGGAAAATGTGTCACATTTCAATGTCAACCGTGTGTCCCTATAGTTGATCTACAAATACGGTTTTAAAAAAATTCTTTAGAGTAATTTCAAAACGGAAATTGATCCTCGTTGTTACTCTTGTCAAGAAGAAACCTTCAATAATTTTAGAGCACTTTAAAAAGACGAAACTTAAAAAGCTTTGTAGTTGATTTTAAGGTAATAAACGTAAGTCAATGTGGACCCCGCAAAATATTCAGCAGACCAGAGACCTCAATATTAATAACTGTAACAGAACTGATAAGTGTATGAAAGACTGACCGTGGTTCAGCATTTCTACTTTCCTAAACATGAACCACTTCGTCTTCTGTAGCAAACCCTCTGCTGCGTTTTACCCAACCCCATATTTACAGAAATGATTTAGCTGAAGGTAGCTCATCGAACCAGAGATTAGCTACAGGACTAGAGACATTAAGTCAGAAAGGAGAACATTTGCATAGATTTATTTATTTTATTTTTACCTTTGATCTGATTAGTGCTTAACTTATTTTTTAATGTAAATAAACCGCCATTCATTAGAGTTATAAACAAATCGTTAATGGTTAAGAATTAAACATAACTGTTAACTATTCATTCAGTCATGTTAGTTGCTTATCCGGAAGAAGGAATTTTATGAAGCCAGACCTTCACAGATTTTTTGTGGAATCAATACATATATAAATATATATTTTTTTTTTAAGAGATATGACAAAGACAAGCTAAAGAGCTGACCATGCTTAATACCAGGGGCTTCCATCCATTTTCCAGACCCCTTATAATACACAGCGTTGCAGGAAGCCTGATGATTATCCCACGGATCAGGGCACAAGGCTGGGGACACTCTGGACAGGCACAATCTCTCTCTCTCTCTCTCACTCTCACACACACACACACACACACACACACACACCGGACAATTTGCAAATGCCAATCAGCCTACAATGCATGTCTTTGGACTGGGGGAGGAAACCCCCAAACACTGGGGGAACATACAAACTCCGCTCCACAAAGGCACGCAGGATTCGGACCCCCAACCCTGGAGGTGCAAAGCAAACGTGTGAACCCTCTTGAAAAACACACTTCTAAATGTCAGGTAGCATTATAAGGCAGTATGATATGTCAGGGTCTTTTAGACATCAAAAAAAAAAAAACACACATTCACAGGCTCTTAGTTCTTTCTTCAACCCGGGTCCTGGAGAACCCCCTCCCTGTTCCTGACAGACCCCTCATTCAACTAATCTGATCATTACCGGGTGCAACAGAGCAGTGTTCGAGCAGGATAACACTCCCATGTGCAGGACAGGCGGTTCTCCACGGTTGGGAGCCCGTGTTGTAGATGAAGGCTGCACTGTATCTGACTTTGGGTTTAACCTAGTGGACAAGTCACGTGATGCACACTGTACAGACTAAGAGACATGGTGGTGTTACAGGACAATGGGATTGGGATGATGGGGGGGGAGGGTGTTAATGGTCTCAACACACCTTAATTATCTGTTCCTTGAAGTCCACGGTTCTGGGGGGTCTGGGGGGAACTCAGTCAGTGTGTGTATCATGCTGGTTACAGTGGTGTCATGGAAAATCACAACCGGTCATTATCAACGTTTTTGTGGCAATAAAGAACGGCAACTTTGAATAAAAACGATCCAAACATCATCCTTTCTTCCCTGGGCTTTAAAGAGCTTTTATTAATCCCAAGCGGCTCCATGAATGTGTAATGTTATTCTCAGAAGAGTACATAGTCGAGATTCCGATACACAAGTAGTATGAAAGAGCCAGCTAGCGGATAACGTGGTCTCTCTCGGCTAACAGCTACCTAGCTGACAGGTATGACAGGATGTGTCTGATGGTGTTTCAGTGGAAAGTTCACCATGAACAGATGCTAAATAGCAGCTCAGGCGAAACGACACGTCTCAGCGACTAGCTAACGCTAACCAGAAATGAGCGAGCTAACGCCGCTAGCATGACGTCTTACCTCTCTCTCCGTCGGTCTCTCTCTCTCCCAGGAAATCCTCGTGCCCGAGCGAGTGTGCGCTAAATCCCCTGCGCCCCTTTACCTATTTCCACACAGAGACGTTGGCTTGGAAAGGAACCATGAAGCCGTGAGGTCCACTGATAACCTCGAGAACTGTAACCGCTTCTGTTAGCGCGTTAGCTCGCCTGCGTTAGCTCGCTCGTCAAGACAACACAAGCAGCAGCAGTGCTATGAGGACTTCAGCGGGTCCCGCGCAGCTTCCGTCAGCACATTAAAGGAAGAGTCGTGTTTAAAATGATACAACACTATAATACTTAAACCTTTATCATCTGCAGGGGAAAATATACATGACTATGTTACAGTGTAACTGACAGATTGTTTCATTATAAACACGGTTTCCTGGGGAGTTTTAAACTCGTGGGATGAATACATGCCACTAACTAACACTCCCTTTAAATCCACACAGGTATATATGTGGCACTAATTTACCCATGACCTCTTAAAAAAATACATATAGTTAATTAATACTAATTAGCAAAGCCAAAGATGTCATGAATACATAATTGTAGTACAAAATGACGTCATCTTAGTTTTTAAGGGGCGTGGCTGATGGCACTCTAATTAATAATCATAAAGTCCCCATCAAATCAAAATGGACGTTTTCTGGCTTATAGTGTGAATATGTTGGCCTTAAGGTTATCTATAAGCTAGATAAACTCCAAAACTCCAAAACAATAGCCAATGTGCATCACAATTCACATACTTCTGCACTATTCTATGCCGTTTTTGTAGTATAAATTGTGTGAGTGGTGTTCACACTGAAAATTCCAAAGAGAAAATGTACACTTTAAATACCCGGATGATGCACTTAATAAACCAAAAAAAAAGAAGAAAAAACAAAGGATGCGTCCGACAGAATCGTATACTGTGAGCATACGTACTGCACTGCCGTTGAAACAGTATGTGTGTGTATTATGACATACTACATCCGACATGTTAGCATTGTCATGTGACCTTCTTCATCATCATGAACACATAAATCTGAAACAAGTTAAGAATTTATTCAGGTATTGTTAAACACGTCCTCTTTAACCAAGGTTTAATACTTAAAAAGAGCCGACGCTGTGTTCCGTACCATGGAGCGCGAGCTCAGGCAATAACAATGCATTGGATTCTAGAGAGCATTTGATTGGACAGAAAATCTGATGAGAAGCTGAAGTGCGGAATGATGTCATCAAAGTTGTTGATCCGTATTGGTGGTAGAGAGAGACTGTAGATTTTGAATACATATATCTTCTAAATGAGAATTTTGTCATTGTTTTGAAGCACACTAGCTTATAGATAAACTTAAGGCCGACATACTCATACTAAAAGCCAGAAAACTTAGATTCTGATTTCATGGGGAGTTTAAAAGGTGTGTGTGTGTGTGTGTGTGTGTGTGTGTGTGTGTGTGTGTGTGTGTGTGTGTGTGTGTGTGTGTGTGTGTGTGTGTGTATGTGGTGTATCTATATCTGTTTAGACGCTTTGGTTTGCGTAGTAGGAAACAATGAATAGTTGCACCTCTATCTATTGATAACGCGCTTTGGCTTTACGTGAACTGACCAATGGGAGATCAGAACGTGCTGACGTAAGCTGGCGTGAGGTGAAAGATCATGAAAGTGGCGCATGGCGGAGGTAAAATGTAAATAACACTAACAAAGGTGACTGTCGGAGTTCACAGTTGTATTTACTGTAAGTTTTGAATTTACATTTCATGCAAGTTGAGTACCTGCGTGTAAATAGTGACTTTAATAGGATGATCTAACACTAATATGTTGTTGTTCTTAGCCGAGTGTAGTTTGTTATGGATTTGCTTGCCTTGGAAATGGTGTATTGATAAGTGCGGCTCATGTGAAGGAAATATAATCGTTTTACTTAGTACAGTAAATGCCTACGGTATAAAAGATTGTACCGGAATTGACTGCGTGCTTATCACCTCGCGATACTGAGATTTTTTCTACAAAGCAGAGGTGTTGTGCTGGGTGTGCAGAAAGGCAGGACACTTTCACGTGCAGCTTTCAGTACGCGTGTGGTTTCCTGTAATGACCAAGCCTCGTTTGAGGGTTGCTTCTGAGCTCTCGCATAAACATACAAAAAGATATCTCAGTCTCTCCACACACACACACACACACACACACATATATATATATATATATATATATATATATATATATATATATATATATATATATATAATATCGTTGTTGTTGTTGTTTAAAGTTCGTGTCTAGGCTGTGTTGGAAACGGAATACATTCACAAGAATCCGTTAAACCGGTTATCCTGACATTTCATCTTTCCCGTCAGATTGTCATACCAGGGCTTACTGCGCACGCGAAACATCAATATTGCGTCACGCCGAACAACACGCACATCTTTTTTTGAATACTTGCGCGTGCACTTGGAATCTGATGGGGGTATTTTTGCACTGTAAAGTCATCCTACCATTGCCTAATAACAATTTTCGGGAAAGTTACACTGAATTATTGTACGTAATCACAGACGGGAAGCAGAAACCCGTAGTAGGATTCTTTCTGAACACTAGAGGTCGTTACTGGACATCGGAAGTCTAGAGAAACGAGCCGTTTTCAATACAGCTATCTGGAAGGCCTCAACGCTTTATTAAGCTTCGTCCCGCCATTACTAATATAAAGTGTTATTCATAGTGG